GGTTCTCACATATTTGTTTTATGCCTTCAATGCTCTTCCTTTTGTGGCTTGTAACATTGATTACTAAAGAATGACTTTTTCACCCAATTAATGAACATTGAACTCAACTTTGATATAATTATTATTGTACTTTCTGCGTTCTGTTTGTTTGCATTTGCCTGGCATATTGTAGCTAATCTTCGTACTTGAAACCTTTCTCTTCTGTAAGCATATAGTTGGTTTCATATTTTGATATAGTTGAAAAGTTGTCTCAATACATGAATCTATGCCATTTATATTTGTTGTGAGAGATACATTTGATCTTGTTTCTGTCATCTCATTTTATGGATTCTCTTTATGATTCTTTATATTTGCTTTTAGTCCCATAGATGATTGTTTTCAAATTCTTAAAAAATAATTACTTAACTTATATTTAACACATTGACTGCCACACTAGAAAAAAACATATTTTTTTCCTTGAGACCATGGTGTTTTATTACAAAAATAGAATAAAAACTTCAAAAATAATCCTTTCTAATTTAATGAAAATATTACTTTTTATTGTTTTCTGTGAGTCATATGCAACTTGAAACATATTTCATGTGGCTCCCAAGGTACAGAGATGTGTGAGTTACATATGCTTCATGAGGCCTTAGGCTCAAAACTAGCCTGAGTTAAATACAACTCACATGGCAGTTAATGTGTTAGGTACTTTTGTATTGCTTTCTTCCTTCTACTATCCTCAGTTATTTGGCATCTATAGATTCATTATATTTTCATAAGTTATTACTTTACACTACATAGCTTTTAACATTTACAGCAATTGTGTTGTTTTGTAGCCACAGTTTATAGAGGTATTTAAATATATTTCTAATTAGATATTTTCTACCTTTAAATGGAGCCAATGATCACAAACAGCTTAGATGCTACTAATTAACAAAGTGCCTAGCATAGAGCAAGGGATCCACAAACAGAATGTTTTAGTATTATTATTGCCCAAGTCAAATTAAACAATTAAACAGGCATGACTTTGTTCAAAATGGTAGATTCAGCTGGTGTTTGGTTAGCCTTTTAATTTACAAGACATTTTGAGTGACTGATAAAGTTAACACAACCATGATAAATTTGTAAATCAATTAAACGTAAGAACAACTTTCTCCCAACTTGAATTTTAAGGTTAAATTCTTGTCCATATTGTGGAGGAGAAAAAAAAAAATGAAACCCAAGAAAAATAAAATGTAAATGGAATGTCCTTCTTTGCCACATCCTATGGGTTCCAGAGTGTTTTAAAGTTCAGTAACTGTGTCAGTGCAAGGCATGTGACAGCCCAGCAAAAAGACAATCTTTGATTAGAGAAAGCAGATACTGAGAGTGGCCTGCACTGCTTCTGGGTACTGCTTTCAATTGGGAGTGCACTTAGCAGCAAGTAAACAGTGACTTAAACCATCAGAACATTTTCTAGTTTCATGGTTGGAGGAAGGAGGTCCCAGGATTGGTTCAGCAGCTCAATGGTATTATGGATTTAGGATCTTTTCTTTTTTCTACTCATCATCCTAAGTAGACTGGCTTTTACCATCCTCGGGTTTAGAGTTAGGATCATGGCTGCTATATTGACAAACATCGCAACATAAGTGAAACATTTCCAGCAGGAAGATGGGGCAAGGACATGAAGGATTTTCACTTCCTACAGTTATTTGTTTACAACACAGGGGAATGTGTCTTTTTTACAGCTCTTCCAACAGACATCACCTACAAGTGGTAGCATGACAAGCCCAGATCAAACACTGCAAAGAGGAGACTGTCATGACAGACTTAAACCAGTCATGACTCACCACTAAGGACTGGGACTCAGGCAGACTGAACAGGAAATTGCCTATTATACCATATAAGTTTCTGTACATTTCTGATAACAGCCACTGCTTGAAGATTAACCCACTGGTACAAGCATAGATACATCAAGTTATATCTAAAGCAACAACATTCTGAGAAAACTCTTTGCAAACTGCATATATATAGGGAAGATGATTACCCCTCTATCCAAATCTCACTGTTTGCAGCTTTGGTTCCAGTTACAGCAACACCGGTAAGCACAACACAGTGAAAATGGTTTGGAGCTGGAAGAAACCAGACGACAATCAAACTCTGATTCTGCTATTCATCCCTTGTGTCACCTTGGGCAAGGTACAGAAGCCCCATTCCTCATTTTTTCTCAGCTGTAAAATATATCTTCCATATAAGACAGTTGTAGGATTAAATGAGATGGTATATGGGAATCATATGGCTGTTCCACAATTACTAAGTACTAGCTGGTCAGGCAGTGACTAGGCCTGTGTATAAGACAGCTGTTATAAAACTAAAATATTTTCTGCTTCCAGAAGCTTAAGTGTAACTGAGCAAGCATTTGGGAAAAAAGGGTGACAGCAGAAGAAAGGGCATTAATATAATTAAGGGACATTTCTTTCAAATTATCAATTACATTACATATCCAGTGGTTAAAAAAACTTGGTTCACTTTCCCATTGGGAATTACCTAACTAGTTCCTGGTGTATCCTTTGGTGGGAAGCAATAGAATTTTTTTAAATAATGAAGTTTGTAATAAGAAATTATTTATTGGAAATCTTCTAGTAGATTTACTAATAGGAGAACTGTTTATGCAAGGTGATAAGAATATTTATACAGCTATTTTTAAATTGTGTGATGTGATGAAAATGATTATTATAAAACAGGAGCTCACAGTTATTGACTACTTCTATCCCAGGTTTTGTTCCAAGTACTTTACATGGATTCTTTTCATTTCATGCCCACAACAATCTTATGAGGTAATTACTATTATTAATATTATCTCCATTTTTCTGATGAGAAAATGAAGACTAGAGAAGTTCAGTGTTTTCCCCAAAGTTTCAAAGCTGGTAAAAGGCAAAACCAGGATGTGAGCTCAAGAATTCTGGCCCCAGATCCCATGTGGCTGAATGCTCCGCTGTACATTTCCACAGAAGCTAACTGGTTCAACTACTGAAGCACAAGGTCAGTGCTAGTTTGTCTATATAAGCAGATGACAGTTTGTTCTCCTATGCACAGCAGAAAAAGTTTAGTTTTGCCTACCTGGAACTGAGGAAGAACATGCCTGTAACACTCTGGTTCTTGATGTGGAGGAGGGGTAGATGGGCTAGGAGGTAGGGTGGGGGGTTTCCAACGTGGACAGCCCTGGATCTTCCATCCCACTGTTTTACTCCACATCTTTAAATTGTTGTATCGCATGGTTAAGAGCAAGACTGGTGAATTCCATCCCTCTGACAACCTCACTGAAAGCAGAGTTTGAATTTTTAAAAAATTGAAATTTTAGATATGGCAAGTCCAAACACATCACTTCATTTCATAGAAAATAGAATTTGTTCTACCAGGAGAAATAGTATGATAGAATAGAGCAGAATAACAGTATAATAGAATAGTATAACCAATTTTCAAGTAATACACATGTCGTTTGAAGAAAACTTTATTAAGATCAAAGGTTTTCCATTACACTTATTTATAAATCTTTACTAGTCAAAAAGAAAATAAATAATAAAAATCTGTATCTTCAGGAAGACTGTAACAACATAGTTTTGTAAGTTTATGAGAAGTTTACATGTTTGTCAATGTTACATTATAAAAATTTAGATACATTCAATTATTATACAATAGCAGGAATGCAGCCTTAAAGATACCTAAAACTTCTATATTGTACAATAAAATAATGGTAAAAAATTATAGTTCAATTTCACCTTTTTATTTTTAACCAACTCTAATTTGACAATTATGGGAGTATAGAATTTTCTTCTCCAACTTGGGTTTTAAATGCATGAACTTAAAAGAAAGTAAGCATTCCTCTTCCCCCAACTCGGGCTGATACCCCGTTATCCTGGGAGCAGGCTGCTGAAGGTGGAGGACACGGTGCTATTCTCCCCTGCTTGGGGGTGAAGAAAGTACGGAGTCAAGAGCCTTTTGCTACAGTTATCAGTGAACCCTTGGAGTTGAGCTGCCTTGTTAAATTTTAATCAAACCTCTAAGCATCAAGATGGCCACATAAACACCACTTTTAAGACTACGTATACTACCTGATTCCTCAAATTGCCAAAGTGCCCCTTTCTTTTTGTTATTTAAAAAATATTGTTCTAGAGTTGAGTGTGGTGGCTCACGCCTGTAGTCCCAGCTACTGTCTCAGAGGCTGAGACTCGAGGACTGCTTGAGCCCTGCTTGGAGGCTGCAGTGAGCTATGATCGCACCACTGTACTCAGCCTGGGTGACAGAGCGAAATCCTGTCTCTTTAAAAATAAAAAAAAATAAAAATTGTTCTGGCTCTGGTCTAATAAAGAAGAAGGTCTGATAGTTTTATTGTTATACCATCCCCATTCCTACTGCCACCAAAAACAACTGTTTCCACTACCTTCCACTACCTTCCACTACCACTACTATCCCCGAAGTAAAGAATTGAAGAAATTAACTGCAAATGAAAAAAAAAAATCAATGTGGGTATTTCAGGGTAAAGAATTTGAACTCTCTTCAGATGATTATGCAAATTACACATTTCCCATCACTCTTTGTCCAAGAAGTCTTGATTTATAGGAAATTTTAGTCAATGTTCAAACAAGGGTATATTCCACCCAAACCATCTACTTAAGACTCATCTTCTGTTAGACCTGCCACACAACTAAGTATGGCTTTAGTATCAAATTTGGTAATCCTCCTCCTCACTTTTTTTTAAACAAAATTGCTTGCTATTTAATCAATAAATTAGAACTCACTGTTTGGATTATGTTATTACATAACATTTAGTCTGATTATCTAACTACTTTGGTGTCAATGTGTATCAAGGCCATTGGAGTAGTCTTTGTCTCTGTTTCTAATATGTAATTTGACGTGTCTCAAGGAAATCCAGTGACTAATGCTATCAAATGTGCAATGCTGTGGATCTATTCTGTAAAGGTCAAATATTTACATGGAATGTTTACTTGATTATAAAACTACTATTTTATATTATGACATCTTTACATACAATCAATTTATTTCATCAATATCCCTATTTGATATTTAAAAAAAATATGCCTTTCAAATATTTCATAAATATATAAAATTTCACTACATTCTATTTTTCTTTAAACATGACATCTAAACTTTCTTTACAAATCAACAAAAAAGAACATCTTTTTCCCTGTTTGAAAGTCACAGATGCAATGATTTTCAACCCCTGCAGGGTCTTACTGCATGCAAGAATGGCAGGCATGCTCTCTTATAGAACTTACAGATACTTCTAGTACTTTGAACTATAGAATTCATTTGCTAGAGATCAGTAGTATCAAAGAAAAGTGAGAGATCCCATCTAAATATTTACAATATGAGAGTCTTTCTTTAACTTCTTCAACAATGGCAAGGTTTGGATGGTATCTGGACAGTGTTAAAGAATCATTTTGATGACCAAAAATAAGTAAACACTACGTGAAAAGTTTTCTTAAACACAACTTAGTACAAGTTAAAGATATGGTAATGAAATACCATATCTTTATTTACCATATTTGAAAAATGACCACATTTTCTTTAACAGTATTGGTAATAATATAAAACATGTCTATATTTTTTATGATAGGAATCATTTCTAGCCCCAGGATACTACCATTCTTACTAAGATTAATGCCATAAGGAAAGGTTTGAGTTACATATAATAATTGTTAAAAATATATTTTCCCTTATTTGTTGAGTCACTGACGTACTCATAAGGAATTCTCAAGCTATTATATAATATGAAAATTCACTCAAGGTAAATTTTCAATTACTTCTTTAAGAAAGATTTTTAAGATGCATACAACTCTGAACATACTGTGGATACATAAGAAAAAGTTTGCACTTTTTGAACGGAATAAGGATTCCTTCTCATTGCCAGCCCAGTTAAATCTGTGATGATCCACCTGGAAACAGCAAAGTCTGTCTGGAGCTGCTGCAGGTTGCTAAGCTGACACCTCCCACTGCTAACATGCAAACTCAATGGCAGCATCCATGCCTGACACTAGCTGAAGCATGAACTTTACCTACATCTCTTTAAAAACTTCAGTCTCATCTTGGAGATGGAGGTACATTAAAGACAACCAGAAGGTTCAAAGCTTTGCTCAGAATACAGTACTGTGCAAATTTTGATTTCGGATCTTACACTCACATATTGTGTTTGACATAAGGCTATAAAAAGATACAAACAAAAGCAGCATTCACCAAGATTATATACCAATGACAGTGTTACAGATTTAGAAACCCTACCACCAAAATGGTAACTGATTTAATCATGCACTCTATATAAAAAAACAGATGATTGTGAACATTTTCCTTAGTTATGAATGTAACCAGCTCACTGGTACCCAATGAGTCTCTGTCTCTAATTTGTCAAAAGTTGTTTTTAGTTCATTGAATGCCACAGTGAGATCATCATTTATGATAATTTTGTCAAAAAGATGACCGTATTGACTTTCCATTATTTGTGCAGATTTAATCATTTCTTGAAAGTCTTCTTCCTACAAAAGGAAATATTTTTTTAAAAAATTGGTTAACCAGGCAATTACCTCACTTCGCATCAATGCAAACATGCTACAATCGGTTTACCGAATGCTGTTCTGAGTCAGTCTTTCACTTCAGCCAGAAATAAAAATTATCTCCTTTAACGACAAGTTCTTCAGATGCCATAATTTTAATACTATCATTCTGATTTGTTTACACAAAGCAAGAGTCATACAAGAGTGAAAACTCCTGCCTTCACTGAATTTCAGGATAATTAGTCACTAATTCATAATTACAGGGTATGTTGTATTACAATAGCTATTGGGGGAAAGAAGAACTGTTTACTCTGATGCTTTGGCTGCATCATTTATGCTTATTTGTAGGAAGGAATTTATAACCTAAACTCCTTTTTTGGAATTGGGAACATTTATATAATAAAAGGATAGTTATCATATTCTTCCTGTGTCTCGTTAGAAGTGTTTCAGGAGCCCTTGATGTCTCACATTTCTGAAGCCACAAAGTATTTTAGTTGGCTTTGTAATATAAATGTCAGCCAAATCCTAAGATTTATTTATCTTATCACTTATTAAATTCATTCAGAAACCTCTAAATTTATAAATAGTATAACTCTTCACATTGCAACAAAATGAAATAATTTCACAGCCTACATTTCATTGTCAGTAAGATTTCGCAACATTTTCTGTAACTTTCCTCTTAATCCATAGCCTCGAGGAGCTGACGTCATACGGATATGTTTGTCAGCATTTTAGAAAAAAGGTACTTAATGAATATTGAGAATCAAAAACACAATCTGTATTTTGTAACTACAGTGAATAGTTTACAGATTAATACAGACTAAGGTTAAAGATTAGCTAATTAAGTAGAGGAGAAAATATAAAGCTCTTGACATTTAACTTCTTTGCTTTTTATTTTTGGTCCAAAGATAGAATATATTAAGATTAAGAACAAAAACAATAAAAGGCCTTGCCAGAAGCCATTATGGTCACAATCATCATTTCCATATTTCACTGACAGGAAATACAAATATTCTTTTTAAATAATATTAGTCTATTTTTCCTATTCCCAAAATGGTGCTTTTTCTTTTACTGTACTAAATATGCTTGTTGACACAAGGAGACAAGCAAGGCAAATTATTAAATTTTTCATTCAGACTATTAATATTAATGAGTAACGGGAACTGGCTTTTGGTATCTTTAGCTTCAAAAATAAAGCTAGTGTGAACACTAATTGGTCTAACGTTTATATAAATGTTCAGCCTACAAATGACTAACATGTACACATAATAGTGAACAAAGTGGTTTTCAGTCAATTTAATACGACGATCTATCCATAGAAGCATAAAAAGTGCAGTTGGTCAAAATGTATGTACCTAAGCACAATTCCTATACAGATTTTGGCTCGCCATTTCCCGTCACGGCCTGTCCGCGGCTGCAGCGCACACGCGCCCCACCCGCTGCTCACGCCCCGAGCCCCACGACACTCACTGTGAACGGCTTCGCGGCACCCTGGTCGTCTCTGCTTGATATAATCTTCGCGTTTTTCCTTGTCTCTCTCAAACGCTCTATCGACGGAGGCTTTATAAATATCACATAGGGCTTAAATTCCAGTGTCCTTAAATGCTTCACGGTCTGTAAGGAACAAAAGAATTTTTCTCATATTTCTTCATAGCATCATGAGTTACTGAATTTTCTTTCTAAGGAGAAAATTCCTCAAAATTATTCTCTAATTAAAGTCAGTAGGTCTTTTGATATATTATTTTATCAATTAAATTTAGCAAATACCTGAAAAGAAGACGGAGAATGCAACTTGCATTTTAAACTGTTTTGAAATACACTGTAATTAATATTGAACACGAGTGGCTAAAAATACCACAAACACTTAACACACAGAAATACATTTCGCAGAACAAGTGTGTACTTGTTATTAAAGTGTGTACTTTAAAAATATAAAATATATAGAAATACCTAAGAGTCACCACACGTGCAAAAACTGGATATAAATAAGAGTTACAAACACAGATTTTGAGGCTTCCTCCACACCTCTTTCTTAATAATATTATGGGTGTTTTGTTCTTCACCAAAGATGTCTCAGATTACATTTAGATGCTTTTGTCATCTTAGAAAAGCCACGTGTATGCCCAAAGCAAGTCACGTGGGGCCTGCCTCACGTGGAAATGGTAGCGTGTAGTGCAGGGGCAGAGGGGACTGAATGGCGCCCCGTCTACTTACGTGAGGCTGGACGTCCAACAAACAAACTTTGTTTTTAGCAAGGACAGAGCGCACTGAGTCTATACTTGTGCCATAGTAGTTGTTTTTATATTCACCATATTCGATAAACCTGGAGAAAGTTGGAGATGTATCAGAATCATTGTGAATTAAAAATAAATTATAGGTAGCAAGACATAATTCATAGGGAAAAGACATTTTGCTGAACATGTAATTTTGTTTTTACTATGTTTCATAAAATAAATAGGGCCAAGGACTTCAGAATGTCAATTTTAAAAAATCTCCTATTTTACATTTTCACATTAGTAACACTTGCTTGTATTACACTTAAGCAGGAAAAAAAGTACTTTGGTCCAGTGGTGTTCTAATGTTTTCCATCACCCCTTTTTTTCAGAACTAATGCAATGCAATAAAACAGTGAATAAGCCAAACAATAGAAACTACTGAAATTTCACTGCACACTGCAGAGTAGCCCAGCTCGGCATCAGAACTGGGGGCGCTGGGTGGTGGCTAATGGAGCCGGGGCAGCTGATTGTGTGCTATAAAAACACCACCACTGCGCCAAATGCAAAAAAAGCATTACAGTATTTCAATAAAATCCCACAGCCCTGCCTGAAAACACACATTGCTTCTGATATCCTAAAATATTCATGCTTCAGCAAATGGAAAACCTGAGGGGAGAAAACTTAAGAGCTAGAGGAGACAGTACAAGCAAGACGATCACTGTTATTTCAATATTTTGCAGAGCCAATGAGAGAACAAGGTGTGTGTGTGTGTGTGTGTGTGTGTGTGTGTGTGTGTGTGTGTGTAGACCAGAGATATCCAGAGATATGTTACATAGTTGCTCATTAGTTTTTAAATTAAAATTCTATCCAAATTATATGTCCAGATTCAATGAGTGGGCCAGAGGGAGGTCACAGTAAGACACTAGCAGCCTTCCCTCATTCTGCAAAATAATTCCTTTACTTTATAGAAATGCAGCAGCTTGAGGGGATTAATAAAACAGAGGTGAAGACTGATGATAATTACTAACTGAATTACCCCCTTTTAATCAGTTTCAAATATTATTATTATGATTAAAATGCATTTCAAATGGAGGGGCACTCTGCCACCTGAAACTGGAGAGATGGGCACATGCCTACCGATACCACCCTCATGAAAATTCTCAAAAATATCCACATACTTGTTATTTTGTACGTCTGTCTCAAACAAATGCTTGGAGATGAAAATATATTCGACGCCATCACTCTCCTGGCTTCTTCTTGCTCTGGTAGTGTCTATGGTTTAATGAAAAAGCAGTTAGAAAAGCCCACATCAGCCACCTTAAGGAAAATACTAAAAAAGAAACCAGCAAGTGTATTTAATTAAAGTTTTCTTAGACAGGATTTAAAAACTTATAAAAAAGAAAATTAGCCAACAAAATACAATAAAGTGTCATACATTCAGATTTTCCACTGTTATTAAAATTATATTAATTTGAAGATGGATTAAAAATTAAATTACATCATGTGTCTGTGCTATTATTCATTATTTTGAAAGCTCTCTAATATGCAGATTAAATACTGGTTTAAACCCTTGAGGAAAACTCCCTTTCTTTGGCAAATAACATGCTTACTATCTTTATTTGCTGATTTTTATTCATTGAAGTAAGTCTATTGTCCACGAGGTTGTTAGGTAAGCTCTGAAATTATTTCTTGTCCTCCTCGATGGTACACGGTGGTTATGCCATCCGCATGAGTGCCAAATACCTCTATGTGCTATTCAGTCCTCCTTTTATAAACAGCATATTTTTGAATACTATTGCACTTCCAATCTTTCAATAATCTTTCCTGATTATTAGTGGATTATAATGGAGCAGAAAATACAGGATTAATTAAAACCACAATAATAACAGCAACAAGGAAGCCGAAGGTGCTCAAGTGCTGACATGGCCAGGCCAAGTAAGGCCACCAGCCATCCTTCCTCAGATTCCAGCTGAAAACTCTGAACCCAAACAGCTACCTGAGCACTCTGAAAATAAATAAAACAGGTAGACCGGGGAGGGAGCCAATCTGCATGGAGAAGAGTTTGACTTTATTTCCTCTGAGCTTGCCCCAAGGTGGGAATTATTTCCAGAGAAGCACAGTAGGATGTGCAGCTAAACTCCAATAGAAGCCCTAATTTTTATAAAAGGAAGGAAAAGGCCTATGGCAGGTTGGAGAGTGTGGAGAGAAGGACTGAAGTTGAATGACCGAGGCCTTTAGCAATCATTATACTGTGTTATAATAGTAAGAAAAGACACATGAATAGAATAAAAATATGAATTCTTAAATTAGAGAACAACAACAGAAAACAAAAGAATTTAGGATGAAAATAACACACCATAATAGAACAAGTCACTAGATGGCTTCAAGTACAGAATGGACGATGACAGAGAGAGGGCATGGATAGCTAGAGACAGATGGATAGAAATATATACTGAACAACAGGAGATGATAGATTATGAACCCAGGGACCTGTGTGATGAATATGGAACATATAAAGGATATAAATAAGGCACTAGAGAAAAGACTGGGGCAGTATTGGATTATGAGTTGCCAAATTTAAATTGGTCAAGCTCATTCAGATCTAGAGCCAGCAACAGCAGGATATTAACAAAAAACGCCTAGCATTATTCAACTACTAAACCAAAGGTAACCTTGAGCCATAGGCAGATGTTATTAATATATCATCCGATCATGAATTATACATATATAAGTGAGAGGTCACAACTATATCAGATAGGAAGACTATTTTACCAAATGGACTAGAATCCCGCATTGCTTATGTTCAGGAGTTTATAGCTGAGTAGAAGAACTTGTATCTCGGGATGAGAAGAACAATAGTTGATAAATATAAGTTTTTCTTCTTCTTTTTTTATATTACACCTATTTATTTATTTATATTTTTTTTCTTCTTTTAATTCAGGATATTGGGGTATTGGATACATTATGTACACTACAACAATTGCCCCCCGACCAGCGGCACAACGTGTCTTCCCCACACAGTGTGCCCCATTTCATCCCTGTGGATATTTGAGATACTTCAAAGAGCTAAAATGAAATACCGTTACCAGCATCCCATCCTAGGACATCTACCCAAAGCAAAGTCTATTTTAAATAATATGACTATTAAAGAGTAAAAGTCTAATGGAGTTTTCGATGTTGCAAATCTAAACACATTTTGACACATACAGTAAAAGGATGTGGGTGGGGTAAAGGGATGTACACGTGGTTTCAAGTTCTGTATTTTATGTGAATAGCCAAAGTTAACTCTAAGTAGATTGTGAATGATCGCAACCAGTACAAAATTACATAAAGAGATATAACCAAGGCATGGCAGATTAATGGAATATAAAAACACTCAATCCAAAAGAGCGAAAAGAAAAGAAATGAATCAGAAGGAACAAGATACAAAGAAGTAGTTATCACAGTACTCCACATTCAGTAAATGCTCCAAGCTGTATACCAAAGGCTGGCTAACATTCAAAAACCATGAATTCACCATAATATAACAGAATGGAAGATAACATGATAATTCAGTATGCAGAGAAACCTTAAAAATTCATATCAGTCATGAGTTCATCCAGCAAACCGGATACAAGGGAATCCTCAACTAACTGAAAGAGGCTTCAGTGACCAATATCGTGCTTAATGGTAAAAGACGTATCATCTTCCCTGAGACTCAAAACCCAAGGCAAACTGCTAATAATAATCATGAAATAAATTGAAAAGGGATCAACGCTTACAATGTAAAAACCTAAAACTACGATTAAACTAAACTACTATTTCTTTTTTAAGACCTTAAAAAATCTGAGTATAAACACTGATAGGAAAGTCACATATAACTCAAGTATGCACTTGATGAATTTTCACTGAACAAACCTGTGTGACTGGCCACTCTAACGAGAAGCAGAACACCAGCAATTTGGAATCACTCTCGGTTCCAGATTTCTAACCTACTTCCTGAGATCTCTACAGTGCATATTAAGTGTTGCTCTTACTGTAATTACAAAAATGAAGTCAACACTGTATTATTCTCTTAATCTCTTTTGTCTGTCTCCTTCAGTCAACATGTTGGTGGATCCATCTTGCTGTTGCATGGTAGTTGCCGATTGTCATCCTCATCGCATTAACTGGTATTCCATTGTGGTGAAATACACAGTTTCCCATTTAGTTATCCAAATGATGGACATTTGGGTTAGTTTCAGTTTTGAGCTGTTATGAAATACCGTTTCTAAGAAATATCTCCAGTACCATTCTTTTTGTGGACAACAGGTTGCATTTCCACCAGGATGTATACTAGCACTGAATTACCAGGTCTTAGGATACATGTTTGTGATGCTTTAGTAATACTGCTACTTAGCTCTTCCAAAATAGTTGCATATTAATTTACACTCCCACGCAGCAAGAGTTTCAATTTTTCCACATCTTTTTCATTTTACCCCTTTCTGGTGATATTAATACAATGTTTTGAGAAAAGGAAATTATAACTTAAACAATGCTGGTGGTATAATCAAAGCAGTATTCTCCAATATTGAGCCTCTGCTCAAATTTTTACAAAGCAAACAATTTGAAAATTCTAGAAATTGCTCTTATTGGGGGCCGAGGCGGGCGATTGCTCAAGGTCAGAGTTCAAACCAGCCTGAGCAAGAGCGAGACCCGTCTCTACTATAAACAGAAAGAAATTAATTGGCCAACTGATATATATAAAAAAATTAGCCGGGCATGTGGCGCATGCCTGTAGTCCAGCTACTGCGGGAGGCTTAGGCAGAAGGATCCCTCGAGCCCAAGAGTTTGAGGTTGCTGTGAGCTAGGCTGACGCCACGGCACTCACTCTAGCCTGGACAACAAGTGAGACTGTCTCAAAAAAATAAAAAATTGCTCTTAAAATACATATCTTTCTTTAATTAATTAAAATGACCCTGAATTGATCTATGGCTGTATTTTCTAACCACATCTGATATTATGAAATCACCTGGGACTACCTGCTATAAATACGATCTTGGGCATACTTTTTATAGGAACCAACGAAATTCCTATTATCAGGCAAGGTCTGGAAAACATTACATATATGAGGATCTTTCTGACATTAACTTATTTAAAAGTGAATCAGATGAAAAATAACTATGTTGGGATTTCTTGGAGTCCGCCCAAGAACCTTTCGGAATATGTCAATTCTATAATACTTTCAGAGGCAAAATAATTATTTTAAAGTTGAAAAACTGAGCCAAAAGTGCCCTTGCTCTGGGTCCTTTAATAATACGAAACTATCACAGGGATTATATTTGATAGTGCCTTAAATGATATTTACATTTAAAAAAGAAATCACTTTTACTACATTGGGCTATAACAGAGCAAGTCTAGTAGTTTTAGGAAAACTGGTAACGTACCACAAGAAGAAGAACATGACATGAAGTATCATAAAACGTGTCTCAAATCCAAGTCTACCATCATCTATGGATTGAAGTCAAAATAATCATTGCTACCCAGTTTTCCTTCTCTGAAATGGAAGTAACATCACCATCTTAATCCTGACACTGGGAGGGTTACGTAAATTAAGAAAAGAGAGAATAATGTAGTAGGTATAAATTTGTAAATCTGTTTTTGCATCTTTAGAGTCTCTTTCTCAAATGCTACTGTAACTTCACAACTTGTTTGCAATTTTCTAAATATTCTTTACCGCAACTCAGCTTTTTAAGGAGAAGTAAAAATTAAACTCTCTAATTCCACCTAATCCTGCATTTTCCTCACTCATCTCTGCAGTGGAAACCAGCAGCCTATATAACTTAATGGCTAAAATTAATTAAAATAATATTGAAGGAGAATATAGCACCAAGAACGGTACCTTGAGGAAAAGAAACTGTAATTTTAAAATAAAGTTGAAAACTCTTCAAAGCTAGAGAACATTACAGGGAAATGTACCAAATGAATTTTTTTAACAAGAGCTAAAATCATTGAAAAAGCCAACCATTTCAATTAGACCTTTTAGATAGCTTTCTAACTCAACAAATTAAGTAGTTAAAGGCATTTCCTTCCTCACATCCAAAACGTTTTCAAGCATCCACATTTCATTTGTAAAAAGGCCTGTGAAACCACCTTTATAAAAACAATCTAATTCTTGTACTAAAAACACCTACCATATCGGACTATATGAGCCATGAAAGCCCATTTAACACTCTTTGCCCAATTACTACTCATAAAAAGTTGATTAGACAGGTTTATATCATAGGAGAGTCTCCTTCACTCTCTGTGGTTTG